GAACGAAGTAAAAGAAAAAAATATCTCTACAATTGCTTGTGAAAATCAATAAACTTTATATTTTACAACTACCTCAATTTGAATTTCTAGGCAGAAAACTATTTATGACAACAAGATTGAGGCAGACGAGGTTTTAATGTTAACATTTTTCATCAATTCTTCTTTCTGTTTAGTGTTTGAACTTTATTTGACCCCTGTGTTACAGGAAGTGCTGATGAAAGATGCTTGATCTGTCCTACGTAATAGAACTGTTTTTAAAACGGTCTGCCTTAAGAATGCAAAAAGCCTCTAAATTCATATCAGCAAATGTCAGCAAAACAAATTAGATGATAGTGAACTTCAAGAGACAGCGTGGTGGTCAGCACTCCACCATTAACATAAACAACGCTGAGGTGGAGTAAGTCAGCAGCTTCAAGTTCCTCTGTGTTCACATTACTGAGGATCTGTACTGGACATTACATACAGACACTGTGGTCAAGTAAAGCCCAACAAAGACTCTTCTTCCTAAGAATAATAAATAAGTTTGATACAAACACCAGCATCCTCACTAACTTTTATAGGTGCACCATGGGGAGCCTGCTGACAGGCTGCATCACAGGGTGGTAAGGGAACTGTACCAATCAGAAAGAACTACAGAGGGTGGTGCAAAGAGAAGAGGACATCACTGGTAGCAGTATCCACACCATCCAGGACATCTACCACAGCCGATGTCTGCGTAAAGCACGCAGCATCATTAAGGACCACACCCACCCAGCACAAGGACTCTTCCATCTACTACTCTCAGGCAGACGAGAGTCTGCCATCACGCACAAAAAAACCTCAAAGACAGTTATTATCCACAAGCTGTCAGATTACTGAACTCTTGATAATAATCAAGGTCAAGGTTCTTTACTGTCATTCGCATCACATGTGGTACATGAGGTGGAACAAAACTGTGTGCACAGGGTCCCAGGGACCATCCATCCAGCCATCCATTATCTTTACCCACATCTTCCTTTTTGAGTCGTGGGGGTCGCTGGTGCCAGTGTCCAGCAATCACTGTGCGAGGGGCGGGGTACACCCTAGACAGATCTCCAGTATATCACAGGGACACATAGAGACAAACGACCATTCACTCTCTCACCTAGGGACAATTTAGAGTTACCAATCAGTCTAACATGCATGTTTTTGGTCTGTGGGAGGAAACCGGAGTACCCGGAGATAACCCACGCATGCACGGAGAGAACATGCAAACTCCACCCAGAAAGACCCCTGGACCGGGGTTTGAACCAAGGACCTGCTCGCTGAGAGGCAGCAGCTCTACCAGTTGCGCCACCATGCTGCCCACATAAAGCTAAAACAATTAAAACTTATTTTCTCCCTAGCTTCTTGCTTGTATGTGTTGTGCATGTAGTACACAGAATATTTATCTGCATATTAAAGAGATCAAGATATTTGTGGCAGAGCTGAATCTTCTTTGCAACAAACTCATCTATCAGTTCAGGTGTTCTGTTGATGTCCAGATAATCAGCTTGCAGCTCCAGGTACGTCGCTGTCAGCTGAGCCTTGAAGAAAAATACAAGTCTTAGGGTTTGTTTTAATGGTGTAGTGTTCTAAAGGCTAGGTTAGCTTCAGAGCTTCACTACAGTCATATTTTAATAACGGGTTCTCTCTTTTTCGAGCTACTTACAGATATGTGACAGAGGTACCGTACGTAGATGGTTTAATCAGTGACACGAGACGTTAATTTTCTTTGAACCATCAAAATAAATGTGGTCATTTATTAACAGAATCAAAATTTAACATCAAAACGTACACTTGATTAGACTGATCTGGTTCTGATTAATAAAACTTGGCACGTTTTACTTAATAAAAACAACAGACATTTCTGAAGGCTTCTAGATTAATTACTGGCAGGATAGAAGAGTTTTAAAGATGGGAAATTATGGAGGAGTTTAAAGGAAGATGTTGAAAGAAGATGTATGTCTGTAGACCAGAACAACACGCTCCTTCCAAACGCAGTTCACCCGCAGTACACTTGTAGTGAAGCTCGTGACGACTCTTTACCTTGGCAGAGGATGGGTCCGCTACGGTCAAGAGGTCCCTGGCACGCTACCTTTCAGCGTCTCCTCAGGGCGGCTGCGACTCGGCAGAAGTTGTGAGATACTCCGTTCTACAGAACAAACTTCCTCAGAAGTTGTAGGGCATTCGCCTGGTGATAGTCACAGCGAGGCGCCGTGCCCCCAGCAGAGATGGATGCCTCCATCAGACTGGAAAACTGAGTCAGAAGTTCCACTCAGCAGTGGAAAAACTCCAGAACTACTCCACAGAACCCCAGAAGACTCAGAAAAACTCAGAAGACTCAGCAGACTGACAGTTCCAGGAAGTGTCGACTTTTGAAGAGTTCTGCTTCTGGTCACTTTAGGAAGTCCTGATTGGTTGAAGCAACCAACAGGGGTGTGGTTCTAGTGACATCAAAGGGTTTTTTCAAGTCAAGAAAACAGCAGAAATGTTTAGGAACAGACAGAGAAATGTTTTGGCGAAGTGAGAAACACTGCAGGTGCCAGTTCTCTTATTTACTGTCTGAGAGGTTTAAAAACACGACAGCCTGTTCTAACAACTTGTTTTTGACTGTCTCCGACTTTTGACCAACATCGCTCTTTCTCATTTCAGACAGAAGATCAAAAATGCATAATTACTTTGTAAAATAGACATTTAACTTGATTTCTAATTTAAATGCGGATTAAAAAATAATTAATACTGTTTCACAGTTGATTTAAAATGAGTGGTTCACTTCAACATTTAGAAATGGTATGAACTAAACACACTTTTGATTTATCACGATATTGTAAAATAGTAATGATAATATAAAAAGAGAGTGTTCTTTCAATTGATTAGTTCAGGATACAATTAGAAAGTCTCTGGATGAGATAATTTGTATTTCTGGATTCAAATCAATGAAATAACAGTTCTTGTCCCATGAAGGTCTTCAAAGGCAGGTTTTGGTCGGAGGCCTAGTCCACTACAATGGTTTACTAATACCTGTCACATCAGTTCATAGATTGTAAGTTACAACATTTACTCAGCTGGAGGTAGTATCCACTTTATCCATTGGGAAGAATGAGGTATTTCCCATCTTCTAAGCATCTGATGTCACAATTTGGCAGATAGAAACTCTGAAATTGACATGGAGCTCTTTAGGGAACACTTGATCTCTAGGAGCTGCACTGAGTCCAAAATTCAATTTGGGCTTGCTCCAAACTAAAAACAGTAGGTGCACACTATCATTACAATATGTAATTAAAGTACTTAATAAAAATAAAACTATTATCAGCATTTGTTCTACAGTATTGCAGCAGCGTGGCTGCAAGACCTGCCTTGCCCTGCAATGCATGAGCAACCTGCTTGTATTACAGCTGATGCTGAAACTAACACCCAGACTCGGTGATGGAGGACTTTAAGCTTTGGCTCTGTCTCTGCTTCAAGATAAATAAGATGGTGTCCCACCTCTTTTAACAAAATGCCACCGACCTTATTACTGTGTAGATACTAGTACACCTCAGAGCTTTTCAAGTTGTTTATTATGATTATATTGTATTTTTAGCTCTGTCAGGTGGTGTTCCCACATTTTTAAATTAGTTAATCCACAAAGCTCAGACTGTCTTTGTATGCACTGTTCGATCGCACATAAACAAACGTAAGAAATAATTGGAAGAAAATTACAAATCCTAATTGAAATGTTGAGGGTGAAACAAGAGAAAAGTTTACTGTGTAATTGTACATATCCCTATATTTCTTTGTGTGGTACGATATATTTATATAGATTAACTTAAATAAACTCTTTGTAGGTTGGTTGGGTTACCATGGCTGTGCTGCATTTGGATGCACCAGTCGGTCCGAGAAAGGGATCAGTTTGTGACAAACTAATTTCTGATCACTTTGATTAGATTTTTAAAATGAGACATATACAATAGTTTATGCACAAGCTTCATTATTTTATGCTATTTTCTACCTGCTGTGCACTGGAAGTGCTTTACTATGTTCTAACATACAGTATATTACAGACTGTAAATATTAGTTTTAGTTTTTTTTTTAAATAAACAAAACAAAAATATGCAAAAGTGTTTATTCTACCCGAATCAGTTAATAAAGAATTATATTTATTTGTATTCATGTTTATTTTTCATTTCAGTCTAATACCACAATTTGTACATAACTTTTATATTTTGTCTGTATAAAATAAATAATTAAATACTAAATGTTCTGATCAGTTAATTACTTTTTTAGGTCACAGTCAAAGTGTCTTTACATTCACATCACATGTGGTACATCAGGTGGAACAAAACTATCTACACAGAGTCCCAGTTACAGCCAACAAAAATACAAATTGTTAAAAAAAAACAGTAATAGGATCCAAGACATGAACTAAGAAATACGCTAAACTAATCCACTAATAGTACAAAACAATGTTCCAAACAACAGCAGCACAAACTGTGTGCAGATGAGGAGGAATGAACACAGCAGCATGAAATAAACCAGCAGCATGAGATCAGCATCATGAATAATTATTTTAATCTTATTTTAATCATCTCAAGATTTTATTTTCAAGATGTCTTATTTATCCAACCATCCACTTTTTATATTACTACCTTGAAATACTTATTAATTCTAATTCATCCTACCTGCACCATTATATTCTATCATATTGTTTACTATATTTATTTTGGACCTTATACATGTTATATTTCTTTTCCCTTTGTTACTTTATTTTGTACTTTAATTGCACGCTGCAGTAATTCTTGTTTTGTTTTTCTTAGCGAGTCAAATCGGTTCTTCTCATCCTGAACATTTCATTGCATTGTTGACCTTGTGTTAATCTGCATATGACAAATAAACAAACATAACACCTTCTTATCAACAGTAGCTTAAAATATGTTTTTACTGACATAGCTGCTGATGTCAGAATTTATCAGTATGAAATAAAAAGCTGCTTTGAGTTAACCTGGTGCAAAGGTGCTTACCGACAGAAATTGTCCACACAGCCATGATCTTCACACGAGCCTTGGTGTGGGAATTGAAGCGGCTGTGGTGGATCGGGTTACGTATGGCGATATATCGATCCAGAGAGATGGCACAGAGGTGCATGATGGATGCTGTGGAGAACAGGACATCCAGGTAGATCCAGATAGGGCAAAGGTCAGACGGCAGTGGCCATTTGTAATCTGCAGAAAGAGTTCAATGAATGAGTAAAAAATATTTGTGACATCATCAATGATAGTTTTCTGTAATAAAATTGTTGATGTGTTAGCTAGTGTTAGCTAGGAGGGGTGGGGTTCTTGAGTTTGTCCCAGTAGTTCATCCAAACATATGACATTCCTAATCCTTAGGTCATCCAGGACATGATGATCGTCTGAGTATTTTTAAAAGGCATCCAGACTATTTTATTTGTTCTCGAAAGAGGTTTTCTTCTCATCCATAGACTCTTTTTCAACTGAAACTGTGAGAGAGCCATATACGAAAAGCAAAGTACCCCCCGCAAAACCACCATACGTACTGGAAGCCCATGCTAACTCCACTACTCAGCCAAGAACCAAACAAGAGCATCTTTGATCTGAGACAACACTGCTGACCACAACACCACCTGCACCAGTTCTCTGCTACATCAAAGACTCAGTCACATAGCCTTAAACTATGCTTGTTTCTTCTATGTTTCATTCCAGACCTTTCTTATTGTTAGCTCCACAAGGAGCAACAAGCTGCTACAATAAGTACTTTAAGAACAGAGTTGCTCTACCTTCAACACTCATTTTATCTGAGAAGACAATCTTTCTCAACACCTCACAGCCTAACTCACCATTAATGTTCTCTTCTTTACGTGTTCTACTTACAGTTTGTTTTTTATAAATGCATTTGACATTCAATTTGCATACTAAGGTTTTGATTTTAAATTGCTCTGCAGCTTGACTGTTCTCTGTCTGAAGGTCACTTCAGATATGTGTCTGTATTTTTACAGCACCTTATACATGGGAACATTTTTGGTTGGGCCATCAGCCTTTTGCTGCTTTCTTCTCCTTTTTCAGATGTGTTGCTCAAATCAAATTCAAAATTACCTTTAAAAATTGATACACTTTCATAGCTGCAGCATTTGATGTTTGACTTGTTCCATTGTGGAAAAAAAAAAATCAATGATTCACTTTTTATTTTATTGAGCATGCATCAGGATATTTAACAAAGATAATTGTATCCAGAAATTGTTTGGTCAGAAATCTTTTCAAATAGAAAACAAAGTGTATTACTGTTTTCATTTTGTCTTTGATGAAAAGCAGATTTCAAACTTATGACAAGCTGGAAAAACATTTGTTGTTGTCCCTGAATATTGATTGCAGCAGCCTCAGTGTAAATACAGTGTGTAATTTACCACACAGACACACACACGGGGTGAAAGCAGAGGTTTCAATAGACGTGTCACTCACTGTTTAGCGGTTAAAGCTAACTACACAGTCACCATGCTCTGACAAATGAAATGAGTCGTACAACAAAGCTGGAGGTTATGAAACCTACTCCAGAAATCAAACATGCTGGTAGTAAAGGCTACCAACTGAACACCTAAACATCTGCACACATGCACACACATTTTTGCACCTCACAAACACAGCACGCCTCCCCCACAGCCAATGCACTGCCCTTTTAGCAGTTCTCACTAAATATAGTCATGTAAATTTGTCTAGGAACCACTCAGCTGCTGAAAGAAATTTAATGCAATCTACTGAATATTAATGTGAACAGCTTTTCTATATGTCAAGGTGAGTTTATTTTTAGAGGCCAATTCTGTAAAGATAGTTTGAACAGGCAGCACGGTGGCACAACTGGTAGAGCTGCTGCCTCTCAGCGAGCAGGTCCCTGGATCAAATCCCGGTCCGGGGGCCTTTCTGGGTGGAGTTTGCGTGTTCTCTCCGTGCATGCGTGGGTTTTCTCCGGGTGCTCCGGTTTCCTCCCACAGTCCAAAAACATGCATGTTAGGCTGATTGGTAACTCTAAATTGTCCCTAGGTGTGAATGAGAGAGTGAATGGTTGTTTGTCTCGTTTGTCTCCATGTGTCCCTGTGATGAACTGGAGACCTGTCCAGGGTGTACCCCGCCCCTCGCACAGTGATTGCTGGACATGGACACCAGCGACCCCCGTGACCCAAAATGGAAGAAGCGGGTAAAGATAATGGATGGATGGATAGTTCAAACAGCATGACACGGGCTCTGAATGTTGAAAATGACAAATAACAATTGTTAATGACGGGAGCTGGCTGCGGGCCACTGGACCCGGAACCCCCCTCCAGCCCACATTTTTCCCTCCCGCTCAAACCTCCCTCAGAAGTGACAACTCTAATGATCAATAAATCAAGGAAACGTCAATTAAGTTTTATGAATTATATTAAAAAAGGCACAGACCAAAAACATGCATGTTGGGCTGACTGGTAACTCTAAACCATGGGAGTCCAAAGTTCTGCTCGAGGGCCTTTTGCGGCCCTTTGAGTGATTTTGTGTGGCCCACATATGAAAACTTCTGTGGACATCCCTCTCTCTAGGTGTGAGTGAGAGTGTGAAAGGTTGTTTGTCTCGTTTGTCTCTATTTGTCCCTGTGATAGACTGTCCAGGTGTCCCTGCGATGGACTGGAGATCTGTCCAGGTATCCCCCGCCTCTCGCACAGTGACTGCTGGACATGGGCACCAGTGACCCCCGCAACCCAAAAAGGAAGAAGTGGCCAAAGATGATGGATGGATGGATGGATGGATGGATGGATGGATGGATGCAGTCCAAACATATTTTCCTCTCAAGCTTTCAAAGGAGGCGCACGCATTCCTTCCCGCTTCCTGTTTCCCTCCTGCTTTATTGCTTTGCTCTCTGTCTGTGTATCGGAGCAGCTCCTATTTTTTTTTACACATCTCCCGAAATAGAAACTACTGTTTTGAATTTGACCAACTGGACTTTCAACGTTTATTACAAATTCTTTCAACAAAGAGATAGGGTCCTGGAGAACTCTTAACTGCTCGGAGGCAGGCAGCTGGATATATCTTGGAGGGGATGTGTTTACCTCTGCTACCGACAGAGGATGCTGAAATTGCCAATAATTGGATTTATGATAACAGGTTTTCTGTGTTTGGAATAGTCTGGACCCTGTCTTATCAACACACAAAGAAGACGGCTGCAGCTAACTTGGACCTCGTCAGGCTGCTGTCTATGTGAAGGTCTGGTTCGTGCTGGAGGACTCAAAATCAGATGATTTACGAGTGAAACCGTAAGTTGGAGGTGATTTGAATCGCATGCCACCTGCGGCTTTGGGACTCTTCAACATGAAAACACCATCTTGAAGAGGCTCGTAAGCACGGACCAGTGAAATGCACCCTAATCTGGACATTTGGACCTTGAAAGTTATCAGTACAGACTCAAGGCTGACAGGTAAAATAGTCTTCCTGAATAAATCAACAACTGTGGTTATCTGAACCTCTCCCCAGCTGGCCGCAGAACAGGCCGACTTATCAATTTCTCCTGGGAAATATGTAAACTAAGGAAAAGCTTTGTCTATCGCAACCCCCCCCCCCCCTTCTGTGGAGTATTATTAGAACTGTGCCAGCTGACCACCATCATGACAGGACAATGAACTATCTGTTAGTGCTTCATGGATCGCCTCGTTTGTAAATGCAAATGCACGTGTTCATAAATGTGTTTTTGGTTGGCAGAGTTTTTTGATGTCTTAAATCTTGCCTTATAAGGACAAGGTGCGAAGAGATCTTTTTTCTAATGTCTCTACCCTCTCCTCATGGTTTTGTCCCTTTTTCTATCTAAAAATGTTATTCTGAATAGGAATAAGAGGGCCGCGCTTCATAGCAGCAGCTTCGTGCACTCCGTCCATCTTTCAGACGACTGTACGCACATGTTCTCATGTCTCGTGTAGTGAACCTGGTCTGACCCTGATCTGACCCTGATGACCTCAAATCTATCAGATGGACAGGGACTGTTATTTCATTGATCTGAATACAGTCTGAGCCATCTGATGACTTTCTTTCTTGAATTAATCAAGCAGAAAAGACAATTCTCTATGATCATCACTGTTTACAAATGTTTGATAATCAAATGGCGTTAGTTCACTCAATGCTACAGGTTGAAAAGAACTACTCATTTTTATTTCACATAAACAGTAAGTAATGATTTTTATTCCTCATTCAAAGAAGAAATCAGGTTAATATGCATTTCTTGATTTTCTGTCTGAAATGAGCTAAGTTTTGTAAGTATGTGAAAGGTCGGTTTTCGGTCAACTAAAATGTTTACCGAGAAAGATGTCATGTTTAAACTTTTTCAGAAGATTACCAAGAGTTGACTCCACGAAGTCTGCTTTTCTGCAATAATCTCTCTGTCAGTTGTTGAACAATCTCATTCTCCGACCTTGGCTTAGATAACATCTTACGTCACAAAAACACACCTCTTTCTGGTACATCCACGAATCAGAAAGCTCTAAATTGAACCGGAAGTCGACCCATTTAAAATGTGGCAACTTCCCAGTTCAGAAGAGAATGGAAAAGAATTCGGGAGATGAAGAACTAGAGAGTTGCTGACAATTAAGAGTCTGAGAAGTTCTGAAGAATGAAAGGAGTTCAGAATTCTTGGGTGCAAACGCATTCAAGATGATCCAGAGACGTTTTGGGATTATAATTTCTGTTTGAAAACCACGTACGACTCTCTGAGGGTTTGGTAGTCCTCAATGGAGACGCTGGAAAAAGTCTGGAGGATTCTCTATCGAGCTGACCTACGTCAACCAGGTAACGGTCTCCTCTTCGACTAAAGTGTACCGGAGGCAAGCTGAGATCTCATGGAGCGTGCAATTTCTGGTCAAACAGATTAATTCCCTCACATATTTCTCTGTAAGATAAATCTCCATTTCATCTTAAACTCTTCTCTCTCTTCTAAAATCAGTACAGATATCTTAGGAATATCTGAAGCAAAGTCCTCGATCACCGCTGAGTGATTCGAAGCTCATTTTCTGTGAAACTTGTCTGTTATTATTTTCATATTTTGCCAAATTAATGTAAATGTTTGATGTTAAACTTTGATTCTGAAAATAAATGACCGCATTCATTTGATGGGTCAAAGATAATAACGTCTCTCGTTACATTTCTGTTAAATTCAAGGCACGACATTACACAGTCAGAAAGATGAGGAACTCGTGAAAAAG